TGGCGGCAGGACTGCCTTCTGGGAGACCTCCTGGGAATACCTTTTCTTCCATACCCGCCAACATTTCGCAGATAAAAACTGGGACATGCATGATCAAGTAACATCAGAGAGAGGTCAAGATGACAAAAAGTATTAGTGAGAAGAACACACAAGCTCAGAGAGTCTGCAGCAGTTTGCTTTTGCCTGGTTCTACTGGGAAGAGCAAGAACCTGCATCCGCTTCTCCTCTGCTGAGTGAGTTGAGTGCAAACTAATTTTGCACTTCAAACTCAATTTGCAGCAACAGAAATAAGCAGAGGACAAAAGGGGGACGGTGGAGGAGTAAAAAGAAACTAGGACATTTTAAATCAGCTGGAAAAGTGGGGCAATTTACTATTCATTATAACTTGTTAATTTTAAGTGTGTTTTAAATTTCAATTGTTTAATTGTATTTTAAGGGGGGTGGGCTATTGGGGACAGGACTGTTTGTTTTATCTTGTAAGCTGCCCCAGTAGTTTTTACAGAGAGGTGGGATATTATTATTATTATTATTATTATTATTATTATTATTATTATTATTAATTGGGACTGTCCCTGACAAATCAGGGCAGCTGGAGGGTACATTATCCTGCCTTTTGCTCTGGGGGGGAAAGGTCGGTTTTCGCTGTCATAAGAATCATAACCCTGCCAGAAACCACTTCCACCAATTTTCCACTTAAAGTCTTTTGCCTCGTAGAGCAGGAGGAGGAAAAGCTGATTTCCTTTGTTGTGCAGGCCATTAAACTAGGCTTCTCGCATCCGTACCATTCGCCACAACTTTTTATGGGATTTAACTGTCAGCAAGAGGTTATGAATCCCAGATGTTCAAATATGGATATTACTCATAACCAGAAGAGGCTTACGATGTGGCACTTGCAATATATAATACATAAGCGGAAAGTGGAAAGCTTTTCTCCTCTCTTCTCTTCTCTTCTCTTCTCTTCTCTTCTCTTCTCTTTTCTTTTCTTTTTTGGAGAACCAACTAGTAATGCACATATGTGCGCATGTGTGGAGGTGTTTTTTTTTAAATTACTTATATATAAAAAATATATATATATGGAAAGAATGGGAACCATGTGGTTCACTTGCTCTTGAACTGTAACTCTCAGCATTCCTCATTATTGGATGTGTTGCCTAGGGCTGCTGGGAGATGCAATCCAACAGCTTCTGGCAGGCTGTTCAGCTTCCACCCCTACTGGATTAAGATGTCAGCCCAGAACACTAAGGGGTTCTAGACCAGTGTTTTGCACTTGACCTCCCAATAGCCCCAGCCAACTTGGCCAGTGACCAGGGATTCTGGGAGCTGAGGTCCCAAACACCTGGGGGACAAAAGGTAGAGAACTGGTGCCCTAAACATTTTGGAATGAGATCCAGCATGGTGTATTGGTTTGAGCATTGGACTATGACTTTGGAGACCAGGGTATGAGTCCTGACTCGGTCATGCAAACCTTCTGGGTGACCTTGGGCAAGTCACACTTTCTCAGCCTCAGAGGATGCCAATGGCAAACCCCCTCTGAAGACAAATACCAAGAAAACCCCATGATAGGGTCCCCTTAGGTTTGCCAAGGAAACGACTTGAAGGCACACAACATTATCAACAACAAAGACATTTTGGAACAAAGGAGGGGGGGAGATTTGCTGCATTCATGGCTGGGGACAGGCCTGGATCCCCAAAAAGCACCAGATCCTGTCTGATCTTAGAAACTAAGCAGGGTCAGCCCTGGTTAACACTTAAATGAGAAACCATCAACCAATGCCAAGTGATGTCTGCTATATTTCAGGGGAAGGAACCGGCAAAACCACCTCTGCGTTTTCGGCACCTAAGAAAACCCTATGAAATGTGTGGGGTTGCCATAAGCCAACAGGTGATTTGGAAGGCAGACACACACACACACACACACGGCTTGGGGAAAGATATAGCAAGACAAAAAAATCATTTGTGCAGCTGGTGGCTCAATATTATGCAACCTAGTGATGTGCCTCTTCAGCCAGGCAGAGCAGGAAGCGGTCAGTATGGTCCTTCTTAATGACTTGGCCTCTAAAAGCTATGGTCAATTAATGGGTATCCAAGGCCAGCTTGGGATGGAGATCAGACCCTAGCTGGGAGTGAGAGTTCACTGTTGTGCCAGTGCGTGTGTGTATGTTGTGTACCTTCAAGTACTTTTCTACTTATGGTGACCCTAAGGCAACCCTATCGTGGGGTTATCTTGGCAAGATTGGTTCAAAGGAGGTTTGCCATTGTCTTCCCATGAGGCTGAGAGAGTGTGACCTCCACAGTGGGTTTCATGGCTGAGCGGGAATTGAGCCCTGGTCTCCGGAATCCTAGTCCAACACTGAGACCACTATGCCACACTGCCTCTTTGTGCCAGTACATTGCTGCTAACATTTCGCAGAGGAAAACCAGCAGATGTTTGGCCAAGCGACATCAGAGTTTGGTCAAGAAGACAGTCAAATGTATTAATGAAGAAGAATACACAAAGTAGGAGAAGGTACAGCAGTTTGTTTTTGCCTGAGCTTACAGGGAAGGGCAAGATTGTGCCCCCTTTCTTTCCTCTCACCTTGCTGAGTTAACTTGAATGCAAACTCCTTTTGCATTTTGAACTCAGCTTGCAGCAACTGAAGTAAGCTGGGAAGGTGGGAGGAAGAAAGAGAAACTGGGACAAGCAGCTGAAAAAGTAGAAGCGAAGACCGATGGAGACTGTCTCTGCCAAACTGGGAGAGTTGGAGGATATGACCAGTGAGGCAGAGCTTTGGAAACCTGCTTTTTGGATAGCAAGTAATTTTACCAATTACTACACAAGGATGCATATCAAAGGAAGAGGCTATTTGAAATTTTGTGCTGCAAAGACCACACTGAATTGCAACCTCTATCAAGAGGTTTTGTTCTATTTCCATGGGTCATAACAGAGAAAATGGTTTCCTTTCCTTCTATAGGTGCTAACTTAGGCTGCATCTGCACTGTAGAAGTGCACTCGCCCTTCCATTTTTGCGGACTTGAAGTCCACAGTCTTGATTCTTCGTGAAGAGGCAAGCTCCGTAGGATAAAATGGTGCATGTGCATCCATGGCGCACATGCAGGGCCACGCACGGGAGTGCGCGGCCATTCAAGCCAATAGGGCTTGAATATTAGCAAGTTTCCGGGTTTTTTGGGGGGGGGGTTCCGGAACGGATTCCCTGCAAAAAAGGAGAGGCAAGTGTAATGCAGCTTAACATCGTTTTTTCTGCCATGGCTTAATGCTATGGAACCCTGATATTGTAATTTTTTGAGATCTTTAGCCTTCTCTGTCAGAGAGCTCTCGTTCCGCAACAAACTACATATCCCAGGATTCCATAGCATTGAGCCATGGCAATTAAAGTGGTTTCAAGCTGCCTTATTTCTGCAGTACAGATGCAGTCTACTCAACTATAGTGAGGCAATTGTAATATCACTAGCTGCATCTGTGTCTTGTTTGCTTTAATTTACAAGAATGTAAGCTTCCATTGTTGCAAGCTGACTGAATTCCCTTCCCCTTTTCATCAACATTTCAGTTCAATTTCTCTTATACCCATGCATATATACCCTGTGAATTTAGGATTCTGCTTCAAGGCTCTGAAGAAGTATAGTAATCCCAATTCTGATTTAAAAATAAAAAGGTGCTTTCTTTGTTGATGATTCATGTGATGGTGATGAAATTCCTTATGCTCCCATTTTACTACAGTACATTTTGCTATTACTAATTCATATACATTTGCCATTTACAAAGGAGTCTGAGTCAAGCGGCAGAAAAATGGAGGGGGTAGAGTTGAAGATTTGCCATACCAACTCCACAGCCCTGCTGGGAATGGTGACTCTTTTTTGGACTACTCCAGAATCCCCCAGCCAACTTGCGTGACTAGGGGATGCTGGGAGTTGTAATCCAAGACATCTTTCCACACTCTGCATGTGAGACCACTGACTGGTTCTGAGAATTGGGTTTCTTTTCCAAAACCCAGAGACTCCTTCATCTGTAAGGGAGACAAGTATGGCACGCATCAGGTGAGGAAGGAGCTGACCAAAGACCATCGGGGAGGGCATGATCAGGCCTTGCCTTGCCTTTTTTGGTACTTTCCTGTTGCGTCAAGAAGTGTCCCATGGCCAGGTTGCACGACAATTACCCTGGGAGTGAAGGCAGGAATTATTTTTATTACATGCAAGCATGAGTCTTGTTGATCAGCCCATTGAAAGAATTGAAAACAACAGATCATGCAAATCTAATTGTTTCAGAGCTTTGGCTCTAAGTGGGACTAGCAGTGTAGTCGTCCCCATGCCCTAATATTATGTTGTCGTTTTAAAAAATGAAATTAATGAACTAATAATTAATTTCTCCTGTTTCCTCCAGAGATCTCAAGGAAGTCTACAAGCTTCTCTGTCACCACGGATCCATTTTATCTTCACAAGTCCACAAGGCAGGTTAGGCTGAGCAATAGAGACTGGCCTAATGCTTTCTTCCAGCAGTAAATTCTGCATTGCTAATGCATGGAAACTATCTGTCCAAAGTAGCACCACCGAGCATTCAATGCATCTTTAAGAAAACCAGAGCTTGGGATAGTTCCTTTGGACTTTGTTGTTGCTGTTTTATTGCTGTCAAGTCGACAGCTCCCAGAATCCCCCAGCCAACATGGGAGTTTGGAACTGTAGTCCCCCAAAACATGCATTTCCAGTTTCTGCTCAAGTCCGAGAAGAAAAGCCATAAAATGCAACTTGAGCAGTATCTGTGCAGCCCCACATACCTATCTGTTACAAGGTCTTTCTGATAACACTACAGACACGTCTGCAGGTCATGAGATCCTGACCTTGGTATGTGTATATGTGTGTCTTTGAAATGCCCTCCCTTCCTTTTGTGAATTAACTCCTGAACTATTGACTTTCGCTCTGGGCTGAGTTCAGCCACATCTTGTAGGCAGACCATATCTCTCAAGGATGAGTAAGTGCTTTTGCAGGCATAAAACTGACCTGTTGTAAAATGAACAAAATAACTCCAGTAAGAAAACAGAAAGAAAGAGAGAGGCACACTGTCCAAACAAGGCAGATTTTGGAAACATTCATATCGTTCTCTGACTCTCTCTCTTGCACTGTAACTCCCAGAATTCTTGGCTATACTGGTTGGTGAATTCTGGAGAATTATAGTTCACATGCATGCACACACGCACACATACAAAGTTGGGGTGTGTGTGAAAGTAATCTTTCCAAGCTTTGGAATAAGGTAGATGATGAAATATGTATTGTTGGAGTTGTTGTTGTTGTGTGCCTTCAAGTTGTTTCCAACCTATCGTGCTGCCTTCTTGACAAGTTTCTTCAGAGGGGATTCTGCCATTGCCGTCCTCTGAGGCTGAGAGAGTGTGACTTGCTTAGTGTCACCCAATGGGTTGGTATGACTGAGCCGGGGATTCAAACCCTGATCACCAGAATCATCGTCCAATGCTCAAATACTATACCTATTTACGGAGGTTGCATTTATCAGTCTTGGCTAATGGCCATCCACAGTTGGTCTTTTCATAAGCCATCCAAACTAGTGGCCATCCCCAAATTTTGCTGCAGGGAAATTCTAGTATTCCATCCCTTGCATATAGATGACCCCTTAGAGTCTCTTCCAGCCCTACCATCATGGGGTCTAAGATCTGTAGAAGAAGACTTCTTAGGTTCCCCTGAGACAAAGCTTCCTGAGACCAGACAAAAGACTGCCGATTGCCCATATTATTAAGATGATCTAAGAAGGTAAGTGATGGCCATGGATGATTCAGAGAGAGGGGGAGTCACATATGTGTGTAAGTAGGAAAACAAACCATTTTCTTGTCCCTAAAACCAGCTTGACTCTAAAGACCAAGGTTCGATTCCCATCTTGGCCATGGAAACCCACTGGGTGATTTTGGGCAAGTCACATACTCTCAGCCTCAGGGGAAGGCAATGGCATACCCCCTCTGAGGACATCTTGCCAAGAAAACCCTGTGGTAGGGTCATCATAAGTTGGAAACAACTTAAAGGTACTCAACAACAACAAAACTGATGAGAGGCATTGTGAGCGACATTGCTCTTTGCAAGAAGTTTATGAAACTGCTGGTTACCCTTATAAATCTAGTAGAGTGTGGTGTTTTAGCAGAGTAGTAATGCTGTGAACCTCCACCTATGATCAACCTATATATGGATTAATGGGAAATAATACACAAGAGAGCCAGCGTAGTGTAATGGTTTGAGTATTGCCTAGGACCAGGTTTTGAGTCCCTGCTCTGCCATGGAAACCCACTGGTGATCTTGGGCAAGTTCCACTCTCTCAGCCTCAGAGGAAGGCAACGGCAAACCCCCATGAATAAATCTTGCTAAGAAAACCCCATGATAGGGCTTCCTTAGGATCACCATAAGTCAGAAACATCTTGAAGGCACACAGCAAGTCCAAAAGAAAGGCGACATCTTTGGTGATCTCACCCAAAGCAAAGCCAACACAGGTTTTAGGGTACACATCTGACATCTCACTGGTGTCCTCTCACAATTTTGTGCCTATAGGAGACCTCCTGTTGTCTGTCTTCGGTCTCCTTCCACTCCACGGTTTCTGGATACACATTCTGAACAAACTGTCAAATTTTCTCTAAACTTAAAATTTCCTGCACCCCCATTAACAGAATCGTGATGGCTTGTTTAGATCCAGCTTGTCTAATGTGGTGCCCTCAAGACGTATCAGACGACAACAACTGCAATCCATACTAGCTGGGGATGATGGGATCTGTAGTCCAACACATCCAGAGGATGCCGGGTTTGGTAAGATTAATCGAGAGTATTGTTCAATTGCACTTGCTCTATTCACAGTAGCTTTTTAATCCACCAATTTTCCTTTGGATGCAGATGTGTTTTGAATGTCTTTCTGATAAACAGCAAGGGAGTGTTTTTTTGGGGGGGATTATATACCATACAGTTCAACCTGTCATTGCTGGAAGAAGCAACAATTACTACCTGGAAGGGTACAAGATAAAATTCGAAAAAGCAGTATAATGGTGTCTACAAGGACTGGGAAGAAATGAATCCAGACAAGAACCAAGCTCTCCATATGAAGCTTCAGGGATAAAAAAATAACACTCCCAAAATACTCTAAGCAAAAAGAGTCTGGTTACAGAATGAACTAGCAGTGCCAGTGTCTTTTTGAAAGCAGCCATTTTTAAATGTTCATGTAGATAATGAGGTGAGGGAGAGCCAGTGTGACATAGTGGACTATGACCTTGGAGATCATGGTTCGATTTCTCATTCGACCATGAAACACACTTGGTGACCACACGCTCTCAGCCTCAGGGGAAGGCAATGGCAAACCTCATCTCAACAAATCTTGCCAAATGACATGGTATTAGGGCCACC